AAAAATCAATAGAAACTCTGCTTTTCTTTTCTTTGACTGTTCCCATTCTCAGTTTTGAATACATATACAAATTCAGTCTTGTAAAATGATTTTAATTAAGAGATAAAATAAATCTTTAAAGCAATCTTATTGGTTGCATTTAAAAATAGTTTTCATATCCCTAGAGGGTATTGTGTATTTTATTGCTATGGTAACCATAGTGAATCATGCACCAGTGCCATGGAAACAAATCAAGAGTATTCCATTGGGGAATTCAAAACAGGTTTTGGAAAACAGTATCTATATATCTATATCTCAAATATGTTAATATATTCAGTGATTAGGTTGGTGGAGATAAAAATAGGCTGACATTGTGAAAAAATGGAAAACAAAGTCTCATCTTGGATACCTCAGTGTTATGGTGAATACATATGAATTTCTATAAATCTTAGGACAACCATTGTCCCATTTTACAGAGGATAATACTCTCTTTGGCTACCTTCTACTCTGATTTAAATATAAGACTGGAGAGCAAAGAAATTCCCCATCAAAAGGTAGCACTTGGAGATCAGATTAAGTAGGTTCACACTATATATCTGGTCATCTTCCTTAGGTCATGGTGTGGTGTGGTGTTGCAGAGTATGTGTGTCCATGGGTGTGTATTTGTGTGTGCATTTTTATATCTATCTATCTATCTATCTATCTATCTATCTATCTATCTATCTACCTACCTACCTACCTACCTACCTACCTACCTACCTACCTACATGCTCAAACTCATGCGCAAATCTGTGACCTCTTCTCTGTCACGATTTTTTGAGTTGGGCAGTCCTTTTTCTGTTTTGGCAAAATGCACATAGCCACCCTAGTTAAATCTTTTGAATCATCTTCTGACCATTTAAGGCTCTGCCTGTAATAAGCCTTATCCTGAGCAACTCCCACAGCACCTTATTAACTTGTTTATTGTTTCTAGCTTCCTGCTTTCAGTTAAAATACATCACATAAACAATTATTACAAAAACAAAATTAAAGATGCCTTTTTCAAATGTACCAGAAATTATATAAATTTATGGAAAGCCCCTGAACCACCTATTATGTCTTGTATTTGTTTAAAAATACAAGGACATGGTATTTATTAATTATCAATTTATGGATCTGCTTCAATCTTTTAAGCAGTGCTTAAAAGGCAACAAGGAGCCAATTCGATACATAAAACCCAATAATCTAAAATTACATTACATGATGTTACATCATTATTAACTTTATACATCTTGCACTAATAACTCTACTCCCCAAGTCCCAATAGCCTTCCAGAACAGCCAGCCTTTGGAAGGCAATGAGAGTGGGAGCTACTCTTTTCTTAGGTGGCAAACTATTCCAGAACTCCTGCCTTACTTCTTGGTAGGTGGGGACCTTCAGCAGGCACCCTCTGTTCACTCAGATTTGGTAGGTAGAATCTGTTTGGGATATGAGGTCTTGTAGATTCCTTGGCCACCCACCCTGAACCATGGAGGGTTTTATAGCACCTTGAATTGCACTCAGAAACAAACCAGAAGCTAGAACAGCTCCTGCAGCAAAATGGTTACATGGCAATCACAGTACTGTCTCATAAGCAAATGGGACTCTGTGTTTTATATTAGTTGAAGTTTCTGGGTGGTCTTCAAAGGCAGCCCTAAAATTACAATAATCTACATGTGAAGTGACATGAACGATCATCTTCAGTGCCCCGTTGTCTGTAAAACCACAGCTGATGCACAGATGAAATTGGGCACTGGCCCTCCTGGCCACGGCTTCCATCTGCAGGGGCCATGAGTTAAAGAGGACCTCCAAACTATGAACCTGCTTTCCATAGGGGAGCACAATACTGATAATATATATTTTTAGATGTTTGGTATTGCTACTATTTCATTTGGGTGGGTTTTAAAAAAAATGGGGGCTTCTTTTTCTTCTGTTTCTTGGTTCAGTTGTTTCTTTTGTTGTTATTAATCATCTTTAGTCTTTCATTGTTTCTTTCATTATCTTTTGTATTTTTGTACTATTTTTTTTGTAATCTTGCTATAAAATACAATAACAAATATTCATATAATAATATCTTATGTTGGATGACCTTTCCCAATGGTTTCATATAGTTGTTAAACAAGTTTGGGGGAGAGGACCAAACTCTGAGGCATATGATAATGGAATACCTGTAGGCCACACTTCTCCCTCCTCTCAAAACTACTGACTGGATCCACTCAGGGAAGAGCATAACTGCTGCAAAAAGCTGTCTTTCACCCCCAGCCTTCATAGACAAGCCAGGATACTGTGGACACTAGGAAGTCCAGCGGAAGAAGATGGCCATGCTTTCTTCACTCCGGTCCTGCCACAAGTCATTCTTGAAGGCAATCAAAGGAGTTTCAGTGAATTCTGATTGCCAAGGATTTAGATGAATCACTTCTTCCAGAGTTCTATGTACCACCTTCCCCACAAAGAGGACAATGGATATAGCACAGTAGTTGTTGATCTTAGTATTTGTTGCAAGGTCAGCTTGTTCTGCACTATGCTCACCTATCTACTAATAACGGAACCAAAGCAGGTCCCTTGAGAAGGGTAGCGCCTCTCTTGATGCTGCTGGAACTTCCCCATCTAACGAAACGGCATTGACTGTTGCCTGGATCCATCTCCACAACTCCTTCCCATTTGCTTTTAACCATAAGGGATAGGGGTCAAGCACACAAACGGCAGTTAGGATCCAGAGAACTTTGTCTGCTAGCTCAGGTTCCACAGGCTCAAAAACTTCTCAGGTAACATCAAAAGATGTTATCATCTCATCCGGTCCTGTCCACCTGGCTGCTAATCTGGAGCAAGTATGAGCAATTTTATCCACAAAATGATTAGCGAGATAATCATCCTTTAGATCTTCTGGCCTCTCTCTCCCAAGAACTTTTGCACATTCCTATAAAACATGTATTAACAAGTGGGAGACCTGAAGGAATGTAAATAATTTTGAACTATGCATATATGGAGGGCTTTCCATGGAATGAACTCTTTTCTATTTTTAATTAAAAATTAATATTCCATTTAGGGACATTTTTAGGCACCATGTATCTTTTAATTTCCAGGATGCCTAGGTCTAATTCAGTGAACAAGCCTTTGCATCATCACTTTGGTTTTGCTTTTTATGGGGGTACAGTTCTTTGCTTTCTCTCTTTCATGGCACCTGTCTTTGCATAAAAGATTCCTTTGAATTCTGTAATTTTATTTTTTATTGTTTATTAGATTTACAGGTACAAATGAAAAACAAGGAAAAAATAGAAGGAACAAAAATTAGATTTACAATCACTGTAAAATTAACTTTAAAAATTTACATTAAATCTACATATTACATATCTCATATCAAGTTATAGTTTTAAGTCACTATTAAAATCAGGTTATTGTGCAAATGGTAACTATAACCAGTATGCCTTAAATTTTAAATTATAAATCATAATAAAAATTACAATAATTTCTGTGTAAGAATATTGAATATTGTTAAATACAAAACTTCAGCTGATGAATGTCCAAAGTATTCAAAACTTTGCAAGATGAGTTATAGAGCAATTTGCCATTTGTAAGCAATTAAGGAAAATAGCAGTGGCTAAAAGACTGGAAAAATTCATACTCCGATACCAGAGAAGTGCAGTGCTACCTCACAATAATAGTCAAGATTTTACAATCCAGACTTCTACAGAACATGGAACAAGAACTGCCAAATGTACAATTTGTGTTCAATAGAAACTTCGGATCACATTGCTAATGTGCAATAGATAACTGAAAAGGCAAGAAAGCTTCAAAAAGACTTTGCTTTATTGATTATACAAAGGCTTTTGACTGCATAGGCCAAAACAAATTGTGGACAGCCTTTTAAACATCGGTGTAGCACACCACATCTGCCTTTTAAAGAATTCATGCTATGAACCAAAAGCAACAATTTGAAACGAAATCTAAAGCAAATACTGCATATGATTGAAAACTGGGAAAGGAATGCACCAAAATGGTATAGTATCACTTTATTTAACTTATATGCATGATATATCATGAGAAATTCAATGCTGAATTCTACATATTGTGGCTGGTTCAGAGCACTTATGAAATAAAGCTCAAGGACTTGTATCTCTTTTAAAAAAACAGAGACAAATTAACATTGGCTGGAAATTACTAGTAGGGAGTCAGATCATTAAAGCAATCTACTATTATTGCAGAAAAAATACTGCAGCATGGCTCTCTCAAAATGCAGATCTAATTCAGCAGCTCTGCTACCTTTCAAATGGAGATAGAGCTGAAGAAGTAAACTAGGCTTCTGACTGCTTTGAGGACTGTGGGTTGAATCTACTTTGTTTTAGCTCAAGGACAGCTTGCCAAGTTCTTAATTGGATTTATTCTGCTTATTCAGACAAGCCATAAACTTTTTTTTTTTTTAACGTAGCATTCCGGAAGAGGCCGAGGGCTGTCTCAAAGCTCCCTTTCCCCCAATTTGAAGGCCTGGTCTTGGAAGATCCTCGGCTTGGCCTGCCTCTTTCGGTGAAATCGGCCGTCCTGCAGCCGGAAACGGTGTGCTTGAAACTTGCTTTTGCAACGTTAGCCCGAAACAGCTTCGTCCTCTCGAAGTCGTTCTTCCGACCATGACTCCCGGGACCGCCCTCCCAGGACTGCCTGCCCCGGTTCTGCTAGCCTCGACGGCGCCGGTCGCTCCGCGCCGCTCCAGCACCCCGCAGCCTCCCGGGCGGCCGAAGACCCCCCTCTCCCGCGACCCACTTCGTTGCCTCGTTCTTAGTAAGACCCGGCGACGCTTCCCAAGGGGTGGAGACGAAGGGAGCCAGCGCGCGGGAGGGGAATCTCCCCTCAGGACCCTTCGCTGTAACATGGCCCCCTCCCCCGTCTGAGAATCGGGCGCGTTCCCCCTCCTCCATCCGGCTAACCTCGACCAATCGAAAAGATGCGCACGTGACAAGCGTTCCCAACGATGACTTCATCCCTGGTGTGGGATGACGTCAAATTCAAGATGGATGGAATCACGGCGGTGGCGGCAGCGCGCGCGGGTGAATCGTAAAAGGAGACGGCCGAAGGGGGAAGGAAAGGGGGTGCGCGGAAGGTGAGTAAGAGACCCCAGTTGTTGCTCCTTTAAGGCGGGACTCCTCTGGACAAAGGCTCGGGTTTCCCCGTGCACAAAGGCGTCTTTTCCTGACGTAACTCTGAGGTATATTTTTCCCCTACCGAGTAGGGCTGCGGTCTTAAGCCCCTGTGTGCGCCTGCGCCAGTTACAAAACGAGTTCTTACCCCTCCACAGCGCATGCGTGGACTCTAATAGACGCGTTCACGCTGTGGCATATATTCATGTCGTTGCTTTTTATTAGCTGCCTAGCGCGCATGTCTGTTGCCCACTTTTAGCTCATGGGTGCTTTCTTTTCTGTGTTGCGCCTGCGCTTTGCCCATATACGCTAGAGTTAACCGCCTACACGGTTAGTTTAGGAATAATGTTTTGGGTGGGGTATAATTGGGCGCTGTGAGCATGCGCAGAAAATGGATGTAATGGGCTTTTGAATCGTATGATGTCATTTTGGGCAAGACATAATTGGGCCGGGCTCGTTCTCCGCGGAAAGGAAGGGTGGGTGGTGATGTCTTAAGTTTCAGAGTTTATTGATGTTTTATGCTTCTTACTCCTATCAGTGCAACCATCTCTGTTCCCTCAAATGTTGAGGTTCGGCTCCCATAATTCCCAAGCAGGGTGGAAGTTATGAGAGTTAAAGGCCAAAATATCTGAAGGACAGTTATAATTTGGGAAAGTTGTTTTAGCCAGAGATTTTAGCCAGGATTTGAATTTAGCCAGGATTTGAACTAGGAGGCCTGGGGATGCAGCCTGTACAAATACTTGCTTTAAATTTGTCTTCTGTAACTAATGTCCTCAAACTATGTTTAACTTGTACTGTAATAGTTGGGAATTATGGGAGCTGATGTCCTATACATCAGGAGGGCATCACATGGAAGGCTGCTTTAAATCTGCTTGTACTGTATACGGGCTAGTTCTTTTCACACTGAAGTGTACTGAGAAACCACACATGACTAGAAGGATTGCACGTTTCATTAAAGACTTTTGAAAAGGAAGTTTGGCTCCTGTTAAAAATCAATCTGCAGTAGAGGCTTTTGAATTTCATGGCTGATAACTGATTAGCTATCTTCCTAGTGTCAGTACTAATAAGAACTTATTAGTTGCAGCTGAGTGTAAAAATTCTTTCCATATTTATATCATCAGCCAATGTGTGTTTATGTAGAAGCCCACTGGATCAAATACAGAGGAGACAAAATCAAATTTATACACCACCCATCTCACTATCAGTGACTGATATTGACATTGGTGGGAAGGAGGGCGGAGCAGAAAGGTACGGGGGAGATTCATATATGTACAGTACAGAGGGCAGAGCCATGAATCACAGTAGGCCAGGGATAGGAAGTCTGCATCTGTCCAGGAATCTGCAACTATAATTTCCACAATCCCTTGCCACTGATGTTGCTGCCTCAGGATCATGAGTACTGCAGTTCAAATTATCTGGAGGACTCTTCCTTCAGCTCAAACATTTCTCCTCTAGCCTCCAGCAGCAACCCATTGCGCAAAGGCAAATTGAGGAAAATAAGATCCACTACAAAATTGTATTAGATGGGCTCCTGACTGGCTCATCTGTTTTGCACTTATGAATACGAACTTCTTAAAGTGTTTCTGCCTGTTGTGATCCCAACCTACATTTGCAATTAGCAACTTTACCTTTAATGCCTCAGTTGCACTAAGTTGATACTAAGATAGTTTGAAAAACCACATAAGGTACCATTATTCACATACACAAAGAAGCAAAATATATCCACATATATTGGACAATAAACCTCAGATATTTAATCCAAGGCAAAGAATTAAGCAGTTCTTATAATTTATTTTCAGAAGACTTGCACAACTACCTATCAGATTTAGTTTATTTATTTGTTGGATTTCTCCCCCGCCCATCTCCCCCACAATAGGGGACTCTGGGCGACTTAAATATATCTAAAACACAAATACATCCAGCATTAAAACAATACTAAAAAAGCATCCAGCATTAAAACAATA